GAATAAAAACACCCTCAAATGTTATAACTATATAACATTATACATGTAACATGTTTGTCATAAGATGTGTATGGCCAGGCATGTCAATATTATTATAAAAATGAATAAAAGGAGATGTTGGGTATATGTCAAAGAAACAGCAAGCAGCCCCACAACAAAAACAACTAAAAAAGGCATAAATAAAGGGCACAATCTATATATAACCTGACCGAGTTCACATGAAAATATAAATATATGCATCTTGTTGCTTTTTATCATGTATATATAGTACACACATTTATAGGACAAGTAAGCATATAGTGTTCAGGTTTTAAGTATATAAAGTGATTTTATATTCTAAGATAGATTTAAAAAAATACAGTTACGATGCAAACTTTGCTCTTTAAATATGTTTTGTTTTTCTTTTTAACTGAAAACCATGTAGCAATGAACATGATAAAATATTTATAGATATTGTATTCATTGTAATTATTCATTTTGAGAAAAGACGCACCCTCCACAACCTTCTGATCAATATGAATCCTTAAGTACATGATAAAACAATTAACAAATTTTGTTTACTAAACCTTTTTAAAGGGCTACTGTTATCACTCTGTGCATTGTTTCAGGAAAAAATTCGTTTTTAATATTGTTTTATTCTGTTGATTAGTATTATTTTAAACCATCATATAAGTACTCACTTTGAATGCTTTATATTATTAAATATATTCATTTAATTAAACTGTTTTGTTGTTCATGACTCAGGAATATTTGAAAGATATACTAATTATACATTCTTTCTAAATAGTCACCTAAAAATAATCATGTTCACAGCAAAATATATGAATATTTGCTTTGTAGTAAAATTCTGTTTAATAATATTTTACAAACACCTTCAATAATGCATGCACTTTTTACAAGCCCCACTCATAACTTTGCCTTGGTACATGCTACTCTGCAGGAGTGCGATGTAGAGTGTCGATTCATACCTGTAGAAAGAAAGAATGTGCACATTTTTCCTTCAAAATCCTGGATCCGAGGCTAACATGATTATCCTCGTATTATGGGTTTTCGTGCAATTAAGAACGCATTGTGACGTCACAATTTCCATTGAAAAAGCACGCATAGTACGAATTCATATGACGAATGAAAACATTTGATCTGACCATAAATGTAAACATTATAGACATGCTTTAAAATATCCTTCATTTCTACTCCTCGAATGCGACTTCCAGCTCAGCTTATATTGTGGTCTAACATCTGTAGCTTTCCTTCTACGATTTTGTGTAAAAAGTAGTTTACCAACCGGCCGGTCGGCTGACAGGAATGCAACAAAAAATGAAGAGGGTAAATCGTTCACGGTGAATATTTTTTTTTCCGTTTAATTAATATAAAAATAAGGAGATGTGGTATGATTGCCAATAAGACAACTATCTACCAAAGTTAACTTGACAGATTTGATAAAATTATCATCGAAAAATGTCCCTTATGGATAGCAATTTAAAAATAAAACCAGTAATTATGCTGTAGATAGTCATATTCTTTAAATTTACTTCAGGTACACCGACAAATCATTAAACTTCGTAACATTTTCACTTCCGCCTGTTTTATCAAAACAGTTTAACTATTTCAAATATCAACTATACCGAAACTTGAAGAGGGTGAAACGTAAAAACATCTTTTAACGGCTGCAACCGCGTCGCGAAATTATTTGTATTAAACATTTACCGACTGTAAAAACCTATAAAATGTTTGTTTCAAACATTCAACGGCTGTGACAACCTTTAAAAATTATAATAGACATTTTATGACTGTAACAACCTTTTAAAAGTTGTAACAAACATTTTACAACTGTCCCAACTCTTAAAACGTCGTAGCAAACATTTTTTGACTGCTTCAACGTTTGAAAAGTTAACAAGAACAAATTTCAACTGTTCCAACTATTAAAAGGTTGGGACAAACATTATACAACTGCAACAAAAAAATGACAAGTTATAAATGTCCGAAGAGTTTTTCTGGATTTACCTTCATCAGGAACGATCAAAGCCGAATATATGAAATCCAAGGATGTATAAGGACCGAAAAGGTTGAAGAGCTATACACCAAAAGGACATAAAAATAGCCAAATCCATCTAAGGCCAACTTTGCCAGAGGGAGTTGAAACCTTAGTTTCTGTATAATTTCAAAACTAATCAACGGGCAATTTTAGATTATTTGTTATAAATCATGTCAGTACCGAAGTACTGACTACTGAGCTCATGATACCCTCGGGGACTGATCGTCCACCAGCAGAGGTATCGACTCAGTGCTGAAAAAAATGAAAACAACACGTTATAAATTTCATGTGTCCGAAGCGCTTTTCTGGATTTACCTTTATCAGGAACGATTAAAGCCGAATATTTGAAAGCCAAGGATTTATAAGGACCGAAAACGTTGAAGAGCTATAAACCAAAATGGACCTAAAAAATAGCCAAATCCATCTATGGCCAATTTTGCCTGAGGGAGGTGAAACCTTAGTTTTGAAAAGACTGTAACAAATAGTATTTGACTGTTTCAACGCCGTAAACCACTGCAACAGTCCTCAAATGACTGTGGATAGCAATTTTTGTTTTTCACAACCACTAAAAGTTTGGGGACAGGCACAGATTAACTGTTACAACGAAATAAGGCAACTGTCACAACCCTAACAGTTGTTATCAGTTGATTTGACAGTCATTTTCAGTCTTCCACAGACTAAGACAGTCGTACGATGACTTTCTAGTATGGACAGTTGTTTTTTTCGACCAGTAATGTAACATTAAGGTTTTACTACAAGCATCACATAATCTAACATTATCAATATTTTATCTTCATGGTGTCAAGGTCATATGTGTTAGTTTACCAATCTTTACATTAATTAAGCAACAAACCGTGTCTGAATATTTTAAAGAAGTTTGATGTCCAGTTCACTTATTTGAATATTTATGTCTACCCGTATATTTCATATGAATAATACAAAACATATTTTACATAATGACATTCTAAAAATGTTTGTATCAAAATAGAAAATCACAGACTTATACTTATTTTTCAATACATTTCTGAATATACTTGTAAATATATGACGGTAATAATTACTAATCGTTTTGTTTTGTGTTTGATTACAGTTCAGATGTTAAACTTTATATCAAAAACAAATATGAAAAGAGAAATACATCATTTTGTACACAACCGGCAATACAAAAAATTAAAACGTCGCACATTTATTCGTATTTACAAACCTTTTCATGCAGTTTTCTTTGTTTTTCAAAGCAAAATAATAATCTAAGACACCTAGACGATATCATTTCATAAAGAATTATTTTCCGTTATCATATTGAACCCTGAACTTATGAACCGGTTGTAAGGCTTTAAGTTGAGGATCTTTTCATTAAAAGTTCATCGACCTTGACTAATTAGACACACCCTTTTAAAACAAGGGGTTCAAGAAAGGTTCGGAAAATAAACGGTTTGCAAAAACCGTTAATCACAATTTCAAATATTTAACAAATTAAGAAGGAATTAGGCTAGGCAGACTTAAACATACTAAAGACAAATTCCAAAGAATCAATTGGACAAAAAAATCAATAAAAAGTTTAGGCATTTATTATGGCAATAACAAAGAAACGTGTCACAAACTTAATCGTCATATACAAGCCTATTAAATTGAAAAGATTATAAGTATGTGGTCAAAAACAAAGCTAAGTATGGTAGGAAGAATATCCGTAGTGAAATATCTCATACTCCTAAATATAACGTATATAGCAAGCAATATGATATTACCAAAAGATTTTAAACAAAACATAAAAACCATGATATATAGGTATATCTGGAATGGAAAAAGAGGTATGATTAGAAGAGATATTTTTCCGATTTGAACTTTCCTTGGACTTCGGTATTTTCGTTATTTTACTTTTTGTCACCAAATTATGCAGAAGGGGAGATTAAAAATTAATTGTATAGATACTGATATTACAACAAATAAACTCAAATAAATTAAATAATAACTGTCTAAAAAAAGTTGAACACAATTGGCAGATAATGCCAAAATATTTGATAAATAAGATTGGAGATAACTTTTTAATATTCAAGATGAATATAGACATTATAAGTTTAATTGAAAAAAATATAATAAAAACAAATCCAGACTTTTTTTTAGCATTTAATGTAGACCTTGATAAAAGCAAAATAAAAATCAATTCAAAAGTCTGTTTTGGGAAATAAGGAAACAAATACTATGGGCCAACAAACAAATTAAAGTCAACAATAAAGGTCTACTGTTTAAAAACTTAATCCAGAGCCACATTATATTTATAAATGATTTATTAGATGACAAAGGAAATATATCTTCAGACATAACATTACGTAAACTTAAAAAAAAGGAAAACTGGATTGCTGAACTTACAAAACTGAAGAAGGCTATTTCAAAACAGTGGACCAATAACATCAAAAACTCACCATCTAAACATACCCAAGTTAATATAGATAAAAATGAAAACCTTAATATCATAAATGAAAACATATGTAATCCCTAGATAACCGTGACATTTATATCTGTTTACTAAAAACAAGAGGAATACAAAAACCCATTGGCTTTTTAAAATAGAAATCGCAGTTGACACTAAAAAATACTAACCCTGCATATGAAACATTGAAATTCATATTTACATTTCTAGAAAATAGTTATAAGATATATAGATGTAGACTGCTACATTGTATACTTTCCTGTAATAAACTATCAAAACGATGGCATATAATAGAAACTGATACATGCTTACACTGTAAAGAATAAGAGGATTATGATCATTTCTTTGACTTGGATCATTTGTATTTGTTGAATATCATTCATTGAGAAATGCGATATTTATAATACAAATGTTATTTTGATTTTGATTTAAATTGGCTTAATGCTTTTATTATTTTTTTTAATTCATTGTAAAACACTTTTAAATACTAGTGCACCTATATATAAGTGAATTCAACATAGTGTCCTTTTTTTTCAGATTAATGGCGACACTCCTTTACACACAGCTGTAAGAGGTCAAAACCTCAGCATGGTCCAATTATTCTTAGAAAGAGGAGATATAGACCCAGATAAAGTAAATAAGGTATAGCATCCTTTGTTACATTGATTCAGTCAATCATTAAATTCTGTGTCCACACATACCTTAGATCCGTTCTCACAGTGCACAAGAAGACGAATATTTCATGCATATTCAGGACGAGAACAAAATAACAAGTAACACAATTTGTAGGATTTTATAATTTGGGCTACAATTTCTACATTTTCAAGCATTCCTTGGAATGAAATTAAAATTTGCAGCGCGTCCGGCATCTTTGTTAAAACTACATTTGTAAGCTTTTTTATCGCTTCTTTTGACTGCTACGAACATATATGCAATTCTAAGAAGTCTTAATTTTTGATATTGTTCTTGTAACTCAGTATTTTGCATTGATGTCCGTAGTTAGTGGTTTTGAATTGTGTTTTATGTTTTAACTTTAGCAGGAACCCGGTGTTTTCATCGAGTTCCTTTCAATTGTTGTAGATATTATTGACATCACACAGAAACATATTAAACGTTTGAGACGTTCTGATGTCTTAAAAGTCAATAACATTGTCAGTAGTTGTGTTATGTCATATCTTATAATTTTATTTATTTGTTTTACTATATTTGGGGAATTGGGTTTTAATAATAGATCTTTGATTGTTTCTGTTAAAGGTATTCCTATAAACCTTGATAGACTCTGGGGGATTTAGAGCTTAATAGCATTCAGACACCTAGCTGTCTTTTGATGAACAACATTTCATTTTATTCATATGTATATGTATGCAAAAACATTGATGTGAATGGGGATATATAATGAACAAATGTGTATATAGCATATATCAACTGCTAATTAGCCTCATAAGCTTGTGCAATATAAAGTTATGTATAAATATATTATTTCTTTTTCGATGAACAGATGTATCATCGCTGGCGTGATCGTTATATGGCAAACAATTCCACTCAGCCTAGTACTTTGACATTTCAGTGAGCTTCATATTGACGGCCTCACTGTGACTTTGAGTTGAACACAGCAATAAAAAGTAAAATCACAAGAATACTGAACTCCGAGGAAAATTCAAAACCGAAAGTCCCTAATCAAATGGCAAAATCAAAAGCTCAAACACATCAAACGAATGGACAACAACTGTCATATTCCTGACTTGGTACAGGCATTTTCTTATGTAGAAAATGGTGGCATTGTTTCTTTGCTTTTTCATTGTGTGTATAGTGATTATTTGTGTCAAGAATTGGTACATCGTATTTTTTTTTCATTTCTATCTTTATACAACTCAATTTTTTTTGTCTCTATATATAATGTTTACATCTACCAATATTAAAATATTAATGCAAATGCTTAAAAATCTTGCTTTCTTTAGTGAAAATGATTGCATTGATGTTGAGAGAGAACATAACATAAAGGTTTTACTACAAGCATCACATAACCTAACATTATCAATAATCTAAGTAAATGATGTCAAGGTCATCTTTGTTTTTTTTCCAATTATTACATTAATTAGGCAACCAACCGTGTCTTAATATTTTAAGGAAGTTTGATGTCCAGTTCACTTATTTGAAAATTTATGTCTACCAATATATTTCATCTAAATAATACAAAACATATTCTGTGACACCTGAGACGATATCTTTTTATAAAGAATTATTTTCCGTTATCATATTGAACCCTGAACTTATGAACCGGTTGTAAGGCTTAACGTTGAGGATCTCTTTATTAAAAGTTCATCGACAATGACTAATTAAACATACCCTTTAAAAACAGGGGGTTCAAGAAAGGTTCGGAAAATAAACGGTTTGCAAAAACTGTCAGTCACAATTTCAAATATTGAACAAATTAAGAAGGAATTAGACTAGACAGACTTAAGCATACTGAAGACAAATTCCAAAGAATCAATTGGACAAAAAAATCAATAAAATGTTTAGGCATTCATTATGGCAATAACAAAGAAACGTGTCACAAACTTAATCGTCAAATACAAGCTTATTAAATTGAAAAGATTATAAGTATGTGGTCAAAAACAAAGCTAAGTATGGTAGGAAGAATAACCGTAGTGAAATATCTCATACTCCTAAATATAACGTATATAGCAAGCAATATGATATTACCAAAAGATTTTAAACAAAACATAAAAACCATGATATATAGCTATATCTGGAATGGAAAAAGAGGTATGATTAGAAGAGATATTTTTCCAATTTGAATTTTCCATGGAGTTCGGTATTTTAGGTATTTTACCTTTTGTCACCAAATTATACAGAAGGGGGGATTAAAAATTAATTGTATAGATACTGATATTACAACAAATAAATTCAAATAAATTAAACAATTGCTGTCTGAAGAAAAAATGTTGAGGAAAATTGGCAGATAATGCCAAAATATTTGATAAATAAGATTGGAGATAACTTTTTAATATTCAAGATGAATATAGACAATATAAGTTTAATTGAGAAAAATGTCATAAAAACAAATCCAGACTTTTATCAGCATTTAATAAAAACCTGGATAAAAGCAAAAGAAAAATCAATTCAAAAGCCTGGTTTGGGAAATAAGGAAACAGATACTATGGGCCAACAAACAAATTAAAGTCAACAATATAGATCTACTGTTTAAAAACTGAATCAAGAGCCAAATTATAGTTATGAATTATTTATTAGATGACAAAGGAAATATATCTTCAGACATAACATTACGTAAACTTAAAAATAAGGAAAACTGGATTGCTGAACTTACAAAACTGAAGAAGGCTATTTCAAAACAGTGGACCAACAACATCAAAAACTCACCATCTAAACATACCCAAGTTAATATAGATAAAAATGACAATCTTAATATCATAAATGAAAACATATGTAATCCCTAGATAACCGTGACATTTATATCTGTTTACTAAAAACAAGAGGAATACAAACACCCATTGGCATTTTAAAATAGAAATCACAGTTGACACTAAAAAATACTAACCCTGCATATGAAACATTGAAATTTATCTTTACATTTCTAGAAAATAGTTATAAGATATTTAGATGTAAACTGCTACATTATATACTTCCCTTTAATAAACTATACACCTGTCCTAAGTCAGGAATCTGATGTTCAGTAGTTGTTGTTTGTTGATGTGGTTCATAAGTGTTTCTCGTTTCTCGTTTTTTATATAGATTAGACCGTTGGTTTTCTCGTTTGAATGGTTTTACACTGGTAATTTTTGGGGCCCTTTATAGCTTACTATTCGGTGTGAGCCAAGGTTCTGTGTTGAAGACCGTACTGTGACCTAAAATGATTTACTTTTATAAATTTTGACTTGGATGGAGAGTTGTCTCATTGGCACTCATACCACGTCTTCTTATATCTATTAAAACAATGGCATATAATAGAAACTTATATATGCTTACACTGTAAAGAATTAGAGGATTATGATCATTTCTTTGACTTTGATCATTTGTTTGTGTTGAATATCATTCATTGAGAAATGCGATATTTTTAATACAAATGTTATTTTGATTTTGATTTGAATTGCTTTAATGCTTTTATTTTTTTTTAATTCATTTTAAAACACTTTAAAATACTGGTGAACCTATATATAAGTGAATTCAACATAGTGTCCTTTTTATTTCAGATCAATGGTGACACTCCTTTACACACAGCTGTAAGAGGTCATAACCTCAGCATGGTCCAATTATTATTAGAAAGAGGAGATATAGACCCAGATAAAGTAAATAAGGTATAGCTTCCTTTGTTACATTGATTCTGTCAATCTTTAAATTCAATGTCCACACATACCTTAGATCCGTTCTCACAGTGCACAAGAAGACGAATATTTCATGCATATTCAATACGAGAACAAAATAACAAGTAATACAATTTGTAGAATTTTATAATTTGGACCTTAATTTCTACATTGTAAAGCATTCCTTGGAATGAAATTAAAATTTGCAGCGCGTCCGGCTTCTTTGTTAAAACTACAATTGTAAGCTTTTTTATCGCTTCTGTTGACTGCTACGAATATGTATGCAATTCTAAGAAGTCTTAATTTTCGATATTGTTCTTGTAACTCAGTATTTTGCATTGATGTCAGTAGTTAGTGGTTTTGAATTGTGTTTTGTGTTTTTAACTTTAGCAGAAACACGGTGTTTTAATCGAGTTTCTTACGATTGTTGTAGATATTATTGACATCACACAAAAACATATTAAACGTTTGAGACGTTCTGGTGTCTTAAAAGTCAGGAACATTGTCAGTAGTTGTGTTATGTCATATCTTATAATTTTATTTATTTGTTTTACTATATTTGGGGAATTAGGTTTTAATGATATATCTTTGATTGTTTCTGTTAAAGGTATTCCTATAAACCTTGATAGACTCTGGGGGATTTAGAGCTTAATATCATTCAGACACCTATCTGTCTTTTGATGAACAACATTTCATTTTATTCATATGTATAAGTATGCAAAAAACATGGATGTGAATGGGGATATATAATGTACAAATGTGTATATTGCATATATCAACTGCTAATTAGCCTCATAAGCTTGTGCAATATAAAGTTATGTATAAATATATTATTTCTTTTTCGATGAACAGATGTATCATCGCTGGCGTGATCGTTATATGGCAAATAATTCAACTCAGCCTAGTGATTTGACATTGCAGTGAGCTTCATATTGACGGCCTCACTGTGACTTTGAGATAAACACAGCAATAAAAAGTAAAATCACAAAATTACTGAACTCCAAGGAAAATTCAAAACCGAAAGTCCCTAATCAAATGGCAAAATCAAAAGCTCAAACACATCAAACGAATGGACAACAACTGTCATATTCCTGACTTGGTACAGGCATTTTCTTATGTAGAAAATGGTGGCATTGTTTCTTTGCTTTTTGATTGTGTGTGTATAGTGATTATTTGTGTCAAGAATTGGTACATCGTATTTATTTTCATTTCTATCTTTATACAACTCAATCATTTTTGTCTCTATATATAATGTTTACATCTACCAATGTTTAAATATTAATGCAAATGCTTAAAAATTTTGCTTTCTTTAGTGATAATGATTGCATTGATGTTGAGAGAGAACATAACATAAAGGTTTTACTACAAGCATCACATAACCTAACAAGATCAATGATCTTAGTAAATGATGTCAAGTTCATCTTTGTTAATTTTCCAATCATTACATTAATTAGGCAACCAACCGTGTCTTAATATTTTAAAGAAGTTTGATGTCCAGTTCACTTATTTGAAAATTTATGTCTACCCATAAAATTCATCTGAATTATACAAACCATTTTCTTTTTTACTCAATCGAAATATGACTATTGAATAGCGGTATACTACTGTTGCCTTTATTTACATAATGACATTCTAAAAATGTTGATATCAAAATAGAAAATCACATAGACTTATCCTTATTTTTCAAAAAAATTTCTGAAGACACTTGTAATGATATGTAATTAATACTAGTCGTTTTGTTTTGTGTTTGATTACAATTTATATGCTAACTTTTATATCAAAGTCAAACATGAAAAGAAAAATATATCATTACGTTCACAACCGGAAATACAAAAAAACTTAAAACGTGACACATGTATTCGTATTTACAAACCGTTTCATGCAGTTTTCTTATCATTTCATAAATACATTTTTTTTGGGTAACTTATTGTACCCTGAACTTATGAACCCGTTGTAAGGCTTTAAATTGATGTTTTCTTCATTAAAAGTTCATCGACCATGACTAATTAAATACACCCAATAGAAACAGGGGGTCCAAAACAAGGTTCGGAAAATAAACGGTATGCGAAAACCGTCAGGAACAATTTCAAATATTTAATAAAAACTGAAGGAATTTGTCTAGGCTTAGACGTAACCACACTTAAGACAAATTCGAACTTTAACTGTTTAAACAAAATGCTAACAAAATTGAAAGATAATGCAAAAATATTTGATGAATAAAATGGGAGATTACTTTTCAATATTCAAGATTTATATAGACAATATACCACATCTTCTTATATCAATATAAGTTTAATTGAAAAAAATATAATAAAGACAAATCCAGACTTTTATCAGCATTTAATAAAGACCTGGATTAATGCAAAAGAAAAAAAAATACAAAAGCCTACAATGTTTTGGGAAATACGGAATCAAATAATACTGGGCAGCAAATATCACGTCAACAATAAATGTGTATTGTCTAAAAACTGAATCCAGAGCCACATTCTAGTTAAGAATGATTTATTCGAAGATGAAGGAAATATATCTTCAGACATCATATTACCTAAACTCAAAATAAGGAAAACTAAATTGCTGAGATAACAAAACTGAAGAAAGCTATTCCAAAACAGTGAACCAAAATCATCAAAAACTCACCATCTAACCATACCCAAGTTGATGTAAGTTGAAAAATACGACAAAATCAGAAAGAGTAGGCGAAGAATAAAGCAAATTCTTCCTGACCATCCGAAACCTTTGCCTACAACAATTTGTCTAGGTATTGTATCTGCATCTGTACTTTTGCTACTCAACTGGACATTTTTCTGTTGGTTTGCAACTTTTTTGGCTTGTGCCAATTTTTTTCCCCTCTTCTGTTGTAAATCTCTCTTTTTTGCTTTTACTTTCTCATCTATGTCTTTGTCTTACGGTCTAAGTATTTTCAATTTAGTTTTATATTTTTTTGTTTTCTTTGTTTTTTCTTTGGTTATATTTACTTGTGTATCCTTAAGATTTGGATCTTCTTTCAGTGTTTTTTCTCAATTTCTGCTCCTTAAAGTTGAAGTTGATGTTGACTTTGATGGTGTTTTTTAGCACTTAGTCTGTATGATTTTCTTCTAAAGTTCAGTTTCACAATTATCTTTCCCATTTTTTTATTCATTCAAAGGTGGAATCTGAAAAAAAAACTCAAAATGTGCATAACTGCTTTTTATGATAAATTCATGTATTGAGATCAACACATTTACTTGTTTGGTATTACAGTTAAAATACTTTACTTAGTATTACATGAAACCTTTATAAAACTTTTAAATTGAAATATTGTAATGTCCTTATCAAAAGACAACGTTTAGGACAATAAGCTTCATAAATTTGAAAATTATATGAAAATTCATCATTCAGATAATATTGCTTGTGATAAACAATAATTTTAGGGACAAAATCCTGCTTTGGAATTTTCCTTAAAAAATTTATTATAACTCATACATGTAGCCTCAGTTGTTAGAAAATTATCTTAGATTCTTATACGTCACAGGGAACTGAGATTATCTTAACATGTAATTCCGAGAAAATGACATTTTAAAACCGTTGCACTCGTGACATCAAAGAAATAGTTCTGAAAGAAAAAATCCTTTTCTATCAGGCTACTCTATGTGTACAATCTTGTATTTAGTACATTGTCTCCTGAAAAAAAAAACCAGAACAATATATTTGCTTTGGTATTCATAAAGTGGGAGTCTTTAAACTTCAAAGCTGCACTCCTGACACTTATAGGGAGGCCTTATTAACTTGACTCTAACACATTATTTATAATATTAATCAGGTTAATGAAGCATTGATTCAGGAAAGAACATATTTTTTACAGGATTGACTTTTTTTAATGTTAAGGTGTGAGTCATTTATTCAAAAATCATTTTATTCCTCAGTTGTACTAATTTTTGTGTTGCACTCCTGACAGGGCAGTACTTGTTTTTATATCACATATGTATCAAAACGGTTTAATGGACACGCTTCATTATGAGCTAAAATCATCACTAAGACATAATAGTTGTAAAATAAATAAGAATCTATGGCACATACCTTCATATAACAATTTTCTGTGTCTTTAAAAAAAGTTTTTTTCAAAATGTCACGAAAAAGTGTTGCACTCCTGACAATATGGCATCTTTTTTTACATCATTTTTGTAATACTTGAGATTTTCAAATATTTTGCAAGATTATTCTAGACATCAAGCCACAAAATTCAGCCCAATCTAACACTACAAAGACTGTCATCTAAAAAAAAAGTAATGAAATCCGATGAAACTTGAAGTTATGTACACAATTAGTAATATAGTTGAAAAATATTGTGTTTAGATGAAATTATAACATCAATTCTGAAAGGTCCTTACAATTAATTTGATGACGTATACCTGTTTTTGGTATAATATATAATGAGTGTCAGGAGTACAACAAAACATGAGAACGAAGGTACCTCATAAAGGTAATAATTTAAAAAAAAACAGTTCAGAAAACGTTTAAGGTTGCAGGTCTCTTTTCAAGTCGTCACACAACAAGTCTGCTGACTATTTAATAGAATTTAGTTCATATTTTGGTTACTTAACCTCAGTTTATCAATAATGCGTCAGAAAAATCAATTTAAATATGATCTGAAGTGCATTAGATCCAACAGTTAAATTGGATGTATTTTCTATTTTATATCTCTTCTTTATAAAACAGATTTATTAACCACTTTTTTTCCCCAGTGAATATGAAAAAAGTTTAATTTTGACATGAAGAAGTTTTTTTGTCAACTTATTAGAGATTTTTTTTTTTAATCAAAACTTTTTCCTTCCACTTCAAATGAATTGATACAAACAATTTGGAAAAAAACATAAAAATAATATTATAATCAAGGCCCGTAGAAGATTAAAAATATATGCATCAAAAGTAATGTCTAAAATCTTTGCAATCAATTGGGGTGAAAAAAATATACATATTTGATAGTGATTATCTCAAATTATATTTATCAAAATGCATACTTGATTCAAATTTTGTTTTTTGGTTTTTGTCAATAAAGTTTCAGAAAATGTTTATATCTTTGTTTCTTTCTATGTCCTTCTGCATTTATTAACTTAAATGTATCAAGATGCAACAAAAGAAAATGTACTAAAAAAATTGAAATTTGGTCAAAATTTAAAAATTTAAACCATTTATTTCGACATTTACCCTTATCAATTATAGTTTTCACAAAAGCAGCAATGAATTAAACAGTCTATAGGGTCAATCATTTCAATAAGAAGTCAGCTGACGATTTGGTCCGTTTTTCTTGTTGGTTTATCTTGTCTTGCTGACCATGTGTTGTTGTTTAAGGTGTCTCCTTATCTAAACTGTCTTAGCAAAATACGTAAAAATTGGTATAAATCGTCAATGAAGGCCACTGACAATTTCAGCCACGTGACTTTTTTGTAGATCTTGCTGACACCTGTTTTAATTTTTTCTCTAACTATAACATTTTTATGATGATACCAAAAGATACAAAATTCATGAACTCGTTATTGAAGTACAAATCTCCCATAGGTTGTCGACGATTTTGGTAATATCGACTTATTTGCAGATCCTGTCTTGTTGATCAAGTTTGAAGTTTACAGTTTCTCTCTGTCAACAAAATGTGTGGGATATCAGGAACGCAGGGCTGAAATATGCATTACTGTCAATGGAAACAATTTTATGATTGAAAAGGGAAGATGCATTGTTCCTCGCAACAGATGAAATACGGACCCCATCCTTAAAGAGTTAGTTCATGGGTTATATAAAGTGCAATGTTTATTTCATGATATTTGCAACAAGTTTAATGTCAAATTTACTTAGTTAAATAGTTATGTATACCAATTTATTACATAATAAAAATATTAAACATATCTTATATAATTATATTTAAAATGCTTGTATCTTAAGAGAAAATCACACGGACATATTTTTTTCAGATTTTCAAAAAGATACATGTATACTTAAGACATTAATATTTAACATTTGTTTAGTTTTGTGTTTGATGACAATCCAGGTTGGAAGTATATCAATTCATTCTTTGACCTTGAATTTGATCATAATTTATGTATGTGTTGAATATTATTCATTGAGAAATGCAAAATGTTGATGCAAATGTCATTTTGATTTTCATTTGAATCGACGTTATGCTTTTATTTAATTCATTGTGACACACTTTTGAATGCTGGTGAACATAGTGACCGTTTTATTTCAGATGAATGACGATACTCCTTTACACACAGCTGTTAGAGATCAAAACCTTGAGATGGTCCAATTGTTATTAGAAAGAGGAGATATAAATCCAGATAAAGTAAATAAGGTATAGCATTCGTTGTTACATTGATTCAGTCAATCATCAAATTCAATGTTCACACACACCGTAGATCTGTTCTCAAAGTGCACAAGAAAACGATTATTTCATGCATATTCAGGACAAAAACAAAATAAGAAACTCCCTTATCAAATGGCAAAATCAAATTCAAAAACTTAAATACATCAAAAGTATTCCTGTGACTGAAATTTTCTTTATAAACAATACAATTGTATGTTTTTTTAACGCTTCTGTCACTATTCCGAATATGTATGCAATTCTGAGAAGTCTTCATTTTCGATATTGTACTTGTAACTCAGTATTTTGCATTGATGTCCGTAGTTAGTGGTTTTGAATTGTGTTTTATGTTTTAACTTTAGCAGAAACCCGGTGTTTTAATCGAGTCTCTTACGATTGCCGTAGATATAAATGGCATCACTGAGAACATATTAAACATTTGAGACGTTCTAGTGTCTTAAAAGTCAGGAACCTTGTCAGAAGTGGTTTTAAATGGCAGATCTTTGACTGTTTCCCTTAAAGGTATTCCTATAAACCTTGATAGACTCTGTAGGATTTAGAGCTTAATATCATTCAGTCACCTAGCTGTCTTTTGATAAAAAACATTTCATTTTATTCATATGTATAAGTATGCAAAAACATGCAGGTGAATGGAGATATATAATGTACAAATATGTATATTGCATATATCAACTGCTAATTAGCCTCATAAACTTGTGCAATATAAAGTTATATCTAAATCTATTAAGTCTTCTTCGATGAACAAATGTATCACTGGTATGATTGTTATCTAGCGAATAATTCCACTTAGACTAGTGCTTTGACCTTGCAGTGAGCTTCATATTGACGGCCTCACTGTGACATTGAGATGAACACAGCAATAAAAGCATTGTTCCTTTGCTTTTTCTTATGTGTGTATAGTGATTATTTGTGTCATGAATTGGTACATCGTATTCTTTCATTTCTATTTTTATTCAACTCAATCATTTTTATCTCTATATAATGTATACATCAATCAAAATTTAAATAACAATGCGAATGCTTAAAGATCTTGCTTTTTTCAGTGATCATGATTGCATTTATGTTGAGAGGACTTAATATAAAGGTTTTACTACAAGGATCACATAACCTAGCAATATTATATGTAAATGATGTCCAGGTCATCCTTTTTAAATTTCCCAATCATTACATTAATAAGGCAACCAACCGCGTCTTAAATTTTTAAATAAAGTTTGATGTCAAGTTCACTTATTTGAATATTTGAGTCTACCAATATATTTCATCTGAATAATAGAAAACATTTTTTTCTTGCTTAATCTAATTATGACTATTGAAGAGCGGTTACTACTGTTGCCTTTATTTATAGAATGACATTCTAAAAATGTTTATATAAAAATAGAAAATCACACAGACTTAACCTACTTTTAAATTAATTTCTGAAGACACGTGTAATGATATGACGGTAATAAATACTAATCGTTTTGTTTTGTGTTTGAATACAATTTAGATGTTAAAATTTATAACAAAAACAAACATGAAAAGAAAATATATCATTATGTACACAACCGGAAATACAGAAAACGTAAAACGTCACACATTTATTCGTATTTACAAATCTTTTCATGTAGTTTTCTTTGTTATTCAACGCAAAATAATAATCTAAGACACCTGAGACGATATCATGTCACAAAGGCATTGTGTTTCGTTAACCTATTGAACACTGAACTTATGAACCCGTTGTAAGGCTTTTAGTTGAGGTTCTTTTCATTAAAAGTTCATCGGCCATGACTAATTAAACACACCCTTTAGAAACAGGGGGTCCAAAAAAAGGTTCGGAAAATAAACGGTATGCAAAATCCGTCAGTAACAATTTCAAATATTGAACAAAAATAAAGGAATTTGGCTAGGCTAAGACTTTTTCAACGCAAAATAATGATCTAAGACACCTGAGACGATATCATGTCACAAAGGCATTGTTTTTCGTTAACCTATTGAACCCTGAACTTATGAACCCGTTGTAAGGCTTTTAGTTGAGGTTCTTTTCATTAAAAGTTCATCGACGATGACTAATTAAACACATCTTTTAGAAACAGGGGGTTCAAAAAAAGGTTCGGAAAATAAACGGTATGCAAAAACCGTCAGTAACAATTTCAAATATTTAACAAAAATGAAGGAATAAGGCTAGGCTAAGACTTAAACACATTTAAGACAAATTCGAAAGGATATATTGGACCAAAGAATTAATAAAAAGTTTAGGCATTTATTTTGGCTATAATAAAAAAATGCAACAACTTAATTGTCAAATACAAGCTGATAAAATTCATAAGATTATAAGTATGTGGTCAAAAAGAAAGCTAAGGTTCCGGACTTTTTAAGACACAAGAATAGCCGTAATGACGTATCTCATACTCCCAATATAACATATATAGCGAGCAATTAGAGAGATACTATGTCACCAAATTATACAGAAAGGGGATTAAAGATGATTTGTAAGGATACTTATATTTCAACAAATCAGCTTTTACTGTCTGAAGAAAATGTTGAACAAAATTGGACGATAATGCCAAAATATTTAATGAATAAGATGGGAGATAACTTTTTAATATTCAAGATGTATAAAGACAATATAAGTTTAATTGAAAACAATATAATGTAGACAGATCCAGACTTGTATCAGCATTTAATCAGACCAAGATAAAAGCAAAAGTAAAAACAATACAAAAGCCTACCATATTTTGGGAAATAAGGAAACAAATAATATGGGAACAAATATATTCACGTCAACAACAAATGTGTATTGTTTAAAAACTTAATCCAGAGCCACATTCTAGTTATGAATGATTTATTAGATGATGAAGGAAATATATCTTCAGACATCATAATACGTTAACTTAAAATAAGGAAAACTGGATTGCTGAACTAACAACACCGAAGAAAGCTATTCAAAAACAGTGGACCAATATTATCAAAAACTCACCAACTAACCATACCCAAGTTGATATGTATAAAAATGAAAATCTTAATATCATAAATGAAAAACCTATTCAATCCCTAGATGATCGTGACATTTATATCTGTTTAATAAAAACAAGAGGAATACAAACACCCATTGGCTCTTTGAAATGGAAATCACATTTGACACTAGAAAATACTAACCCTGCATATGAAACACTGAAATTTATCTTTACATTTCTAGATGATAATAGATATAACATATTAAAATGTAAACTGCTACGTTATATACTTCCCTGTAATAAACTATTACAACAATGGCATATTATAGAAACAGATATATGCTTACACTGTAAAGAAAAAAGAAAGAAAGTAAAATAACAAAAATACCGAACTCCAAGGGAAATTCATAACAGAAAGTCCTTCATAAAATGGCAAAATCAAAAGTTCAAACACATCTAACGAACGGAAAACAACTGTCATACTCCTGACTTGGTACATGCAGTTCCTTATGTAGAATATGTTGGATAAAACTTGGTTTTATAGCTAGCTAAAGCTCTCACTGGTATGACAGTCGCATAGAGTTCCATTATATTGACAACAATGTATGAACAAAACAAATAATAGGTAAACACGTCAACAATTGGGGTACAGCAGTCAACATTGTAATATAATCTTAATCACCATAAAAACTAATAACTGTTTCAACAAAGAAACACAGAATTACAGGACTATGATCATTCCTTTCTCAACTGTTTATATTTTGAATCACTTTGGAAGGATGTACAACAAATTCTAGAGCAATTAAACATTGGAATTCTAGAGCAATTAAACATTGGAATTCTAGAGCAATTAAACATTGGAATTCTAGAGCAATTAAACATTGGAATTCTAGAGCAATTAAACATTGGTATTGTAGAGCAATTAACCATTGGAATTCTAGAGCAATTAAACATTGGAATTCTAGAGCAATTAAACATTGGAATTCTAGAGCAATTAAACATTGACAGACATGCTAATAATCTGAAAAGTATAGTTTTGTTGATATAAGGTAATGATAATGAGTATTGTGAACTCAATTTACTTTTAACCATAATATGTCACATTGTATAGTTTTTTGGATATAAGGTAATGATAATGAGTATTGTGAACTCAATTTACTTTTAACCATAATTAGTCACATTGTATTTTATGTATACTAAATGTCAGACAAAAAAAAATATACAGTACCTCAAAATATTTAGACACAAAATCAGAAATAAATTTGAGACCTTTTTTAGGATACAAGATTGGTAAATTATTAAGGAATGCAAGCAATTTAATGAACTAATTTGAACTAAAAATATGAAGAAATTGGAGTGAACTTGATTTACATAATGCGACAAACTTGCATTTTAGGGTGAAAATAATACTTCTTTCAAATATAGAAAAAAAATATTGTAATTTCTACATACATGTGTGTCTACCTATTTATTATTTTTTTTGTGTATAGTGTTATGATACTGTAATTATCATATTTATTTATCTTGGCCTATTCTGATTTGTGTGGCCTTTCAGTTGTTTACAAAATAATGTAAGTTTAAAAAAAGTTTAAAATAAGTTTGCAGTTTAAAAATCACTGACACAATCATAGACACTAATTGAATGATTAGAACTTTCTATTTGACTTGCATAATAATTCTGAAATGATCATAATTTACGATGTGGAATTTAAATATATATTTAGGACATTAATACTTAACATTTGTTTAGTTTTGTGGTTCATGACAATCCAGGTCATATGTATTTGTTGAATATTATTCATTGAGAAATGCAATATTTATGATACAAATGTTTTTTTGATTTTCATTTGAATTGACGTAATGCTTTTTTTAATTCATTGTATCACAATTGTAAATGCTGGTGAACATGGTGACCTTTTTATTTTAGATCAGCGGCGACACTCCTTTACACACAGCTGTAAGAGGTCAAAACCGCAGGATGGTCCAATTGTTATTAGAAAGAGGAGATATAGATCCAGATAAAGTAAATAAGGTATAGCATCCTTTGTTACATTGATTCTTTGAATCATCAAATTAAATGTCCACACATACCTCACTTCGTTCTCAAAGTTCACAAGAAGACGAATATTTCATGCATATTCAGGACGAGAACAAAATTACCAGTCATACAATGTGTAAGATTTTTATAATTTGGACTATAATTTCTACTTTTGTAAAGAGTAAAATAACAAAAATACCGAACTCCAAGGACAATTCAAATTGGAAAGTCCCCTATCAAATGGCAAAATCAAAAGCTCAAACACATCAAAAGCATTCCTGGGACTGAAATTCTCAGTACGTCCGGATTCTTTAATAAAAAATAGAATTGTATGCGTTTTTAACGCTTCTGTCACTGTTCCGAATATGTATGCAATTCTAAGAAGTCTTCATTTTGGTTTTTGTTCTTGTAACTCAGTATGTTGCATTGATGTCCGTAGTTAGTGGTTTTGAATTGTGTTTTGTGTTTTAACTTTAACAGAAACCCGGTGTTTTAATCGAGTTTCTTACGATTGCCGTAGATATTATTGACATCACAGAAAAACATATTAAACGTCAGGAACATTGTCAGTAGTTGTGTTATGCCATATCTTATAATTTAATTTTTTAATGTAAATGATGTCAAGGTCATCTTTGTTAATAAACCAATCATTACATTAATTAGGCAACCAACCATGTCTTGATATTTTAAAGAAGTTTGATGTCCAGTTCACTTTTTTGAATATTTATGTCTACCCATATATTTCATCTGAATAATACAAAACATATTTTACACAATGACATTCTAAAAATGTTTGTATCAAAATAGAAAATCACACAGACTTATCCTTATTTTTCAATACATTTCTGAATACACTTGTAAAGATATGACGGTAATAATTACTAATCGTTTTGTTTTGTGTTTGATTACAATTCCGATGTTGAAATTTATATCAAAACCAAATATTAAAAGATAAATACATCATTATGTAAACAACCGGAAATACAGATAACTTAAAGCGTCACAAATTTATTCGTATTTACAAACCTTTTTGTGCAGTTTTCTTTGTTATTTAACGCAAAATGATTATCTAAGACACCTGAGACGATATCAATAGTAACCAGAATTTCGATTGACCGGCCAAATAGGTATTAACCCTATTTAAAATGAATCTTCCCAAACCACTATCGTGGTCATCACGTGACTTTTACAATTCAGTTGTATATCATTAATGGTCGATCGTTTTGTCAATGAAAATGAACGGGCTTAATAAATTAAACGATCTTAACTTTTCTGTTACATTTGTATTTTACTGCCCAACCCCGCGTTTTGATGAATTTTCTTATTTACAATTAAAGATGTTCTAAATTTCAGTTCAAAAGTATGACTTCTTGCTTCAAATTAAGTTTGAAAATTGAGGTGCCATAACCATACAGCCTTCGTTAACTTCTTCGTTAAAACTCGAAAAAATTGCAATGGAACCTTCTCAAATAATCCATTTTCTCAACTTGTTCATTGAAAATAAGATCTTCCCAAACCATTAAAAGGCCAACATTACATTTATTTCAAAGAAATCGAAAACCAAATCGGTTAAGGTAACAAACGTTTTGCTTTAATATTTGATTGAAAAGTTCCCATTTTGGAATTCGTTAGCAATATTTTGAAAATGGCGGCCGCTGTCGGAAGTAAACAACAACACGGCACGTATTCATTTAGTTATTAATTTCAAAGCTATATTCAAATGCAATCATTTTGTATCAATGGTTCTGATTGGATGACAATAAGCAAAAAATTCTCTACCTCCTTGTCTGTAACTAAGGAAACCGACATTTTGAATACCGGAATGTATTGACATGTTATTTCTCCAATAATAAGCAAAAAAACTCACATTTTGCACCTAGAAATCTTCTTTTTATCAAATTTTATTACATTCTGAAGCGGACAAGAAGCCAGAAAACGCCCGGTATTTACGTTTAATGCAGGAAGCATACCTATGACATCACCTAGTTTAGGCGCCAAAGAAGATAACATCTACGCGTCGCAAGGAAAACTAAATTTGCGACAGTAAAACTACCGATGGACATCCGCAAAGCTTCAAATACAATACAGTTATCTCTAAATTTGAAACAGTTTGAGTGTGTCTTATTGCTTTTTTTAAAAATAACTTATGACACCTTCACTTAAGTTAATTTATTAGAAACAGTCGCTCGCACACAAAATAAAGATTTATATTCATCAATCATACACTGTTTACTTTGACATCGTTACTCGACTTGAAAAGATATTTTGTAAGATTTTTATGATGGAAATCAAGTAACTGTTGAATGCATAAGTTTTGAGTCATTGCCTTACATTAAAGCGGCATAGAATCAAACATTGTTTCTTTTTGAAAAAGTGGATACATTTTGTTTGTTTTGATAAAATTGAAAAAAATGGAGTCCAATTTATTTTCAAACATAGACGATGTTCGACATTAAGCTTGTCCATGCAAATAATTCAATTTATTTTCAGTGTGAATATTGCAATTACATTTGATACGTAATTGTCTTTCTAATAATACCCTAGTACATAGCTGGATTAAGCAGATATTAAATCATAACATCGATGTGATCAAAGAAAACAAACATAGCACCTGATCAAGGTATAAGTTTTGTCAACTAGTGTTGTCCGATTCTTAATGAAATTATTCAATGATATTATTTTAAATTAATAAAAAATAACCTAATATAGATGTTAACTGAGGTGAAATGTCTATTTTTATCAATTTGTTTAATCATTCGTCACCAGGGAAACCATTTAATTTTACAAAATCCTAACTAGACCAGTGACATGCAGAGTTATCGGATGTTATTATGACTGGAATAGTTGCATATGTGTATTCCCGTATATTTATTTGTTCTCTTTGTCTGTTATCTTATCTTTTATTCGTTATTTAATATTCATTAGAGGGAAAATGTAGAAGGAACAGATAACATTAATTGTTTACATCATTCCCATCGATATACCTTATCTTTTAGATTGAAGAAATACTTACCGAAAAATAAAACAGCATTTAAAAAAAACACTGATTGTGAAAATGTTGAAATCGTTGAATTCATTCCGTGAACAGTTGTGAAACATGTGAAAGTTAATTAACTTCAAATCTGATAAATATAAAAAATAAGAAGATGTGGTATGATTTCCAACTCTCCAACTCAGAAGTTAACAACTATAGGTCACCATACGGCCTTCAACGATGAGTAAAACCCATACGGTTAAATTTATTACATTTGTCACTGGTGCAAAACATCAATCATTTTATAGGAATCGCCCTATCAAAAGACTGAATCTCCTATATAATTTCGTTTTGAACATGCATGACATATTTGAGACTGAACGTTTAGCCAATTGAAATGAATTAATAAGAAAATTATTCCGTCTCGAACTTTTAAAAAATCATATTAAATCACAAGTTTTTCTGTTTTGTTTAATTTACCTTGAAAATTAAAATTTTGTATAGCGTAAATATGTCACGTACTAGTTTACCTGAAACCAAATATAAACTGATAATTTCGCGTGAATATTTAAAACAATAAAGCCAAGTAATATTGTTTCAATTTATTAAAAAAGCGTATCATTAAAGGGGCACTAGCTACGAGATATATAAAAATATGATTTTTTTGTTCAATCATTAAAATGTGAAATAGTGAAATAATAATTCGTTTTCAGCAGCTAGTGTGGTTTAATTTCGTCAAAATAAGCTAAGAAATATCGATGATGAATTATTCACTTGCAAGTGAATAATTCGACCTCATTGAATCCGTATTCATGTGACCTTCAATTTAACCCCTTAGCTGGAGATGGATTACGCATGAATTATACGTGTTCAGTTATCAAAAAAGAAAAGAATATCAACATTGAAAGTGAAATAAAGGTGAATCATTTGATTGACTGATTCGATCCACAAAAACTCATTCTTATACAGGTAAACACGATGATTAACATATATATTTTTAACCTATAATATGAAATTCAACAGACCTAGACAAATCCAATTGCACGAGTTCGCTATCTATTTTTATCTATATTTATGTTTATATCGCTTATATGACCGTCGGCAGTCTTCGGAGGTCAACTCGATAGCTAATTAGATGGCGTCTAGACTAAAATACACACGAAACGATGATACATATTATCGAGCCCATGCCTTGTAAATTGTTTATTTTAGACTTTTTATAATTTGGAAAACGTTTTACTATGTTATAAATCAAATATGAGAATTTGAGTCATATCTGTGAACATGAATTTGACAGCCAATGCCCCTTTAAAGGGAAACTCCGCAAAAACAATAAAAAAATATTCTCATAGCTAACAGATTAACGTCGATTTTAAATTGAGAATAATATGAAATTTGGAACATGTAGCATCGTGACGGCTTCCCAATTAAAAACACCAAGTGCTATCTATAAACCACCAAGTACCAAAACAAGCAGCGTCTTACGGTGTTTATATATCCCAGCTCATTCGTTATGCCCGTGTCTGTAGTGACGTTTTTGATTTCAATGAGCGTAATCTATGTGTGACTAGTAAATTATTAAGTCAGGGATTTGGTTACCACAAATTACTTTAAACAGTTACTAAATTCTTCCATAGATACACAAATTTGGTTTCAATGTTTGGCTGTACCTGTAGAAAACTTATTTTAAACGGATTCTTACATTTTACGGTGATGTTGTTAACCGAGCCCGGAAATTTAGAGACAATCCGAGTAAACTTATCAATCTTTTAAATAAACTTATCAATCTTTTAAATAAACTTATCTGAAAGGTAACCAGTTAAACACTGTAATAAAATCTTTGAATATTGTTTTTATTGGTATAAATATTGATGTTGTTATCAGTAAAGTAAAACCAAAAAAAAATATGTTTGTTGTTCACATATGTTATTTCTCGGTACTAGAATCTGTCGATACCTATATTTTGTCATTGCACAAGGTCTTGTTTTTCTCTGACTGTTAATGACATCTTGAGGGATGGATAAATACCTGCCACGTTGTTTTTGTTTGATGTTTTTCTGCTTTGTACCGTTCTGATGAGTTTAGCCTTTTTCAACTGATTTTTATAGTTTGTTCTAATGTTGTGTTGTTACACCACTGGCCCGGGGCCTTTTATAACCGACTATACTGTATCGGGTTTTCTCATCGTTGAAAGCCATACGGTTGCCTATAAATGCTTACATCCACTTCATTTGAACTATGGTGGATAGTTGTCTCATTGGCATTCATACCACATATCTTCATTTTAATAGGGACTAACGTAGTCGTTATACCAGTGTCAAAATCACTGGTCAAAAGTACGGTTGTCCTACCCGAAAAGGTAATGATAAAAGCATACACAGTTTCTCTGATCCTAAAAAAGAATTATACCAGACATTGTTGGGCTACCTATTGGCAAACTTTAAAAGTTAACTTGCCATGATACGGAACAAAAAAGGTTTAAGAGTCGGAAAGATTGGTCGTTTGGAAATCTATTTTTTTAAATAACTATGGTCTGTCGTTTTGAAATGTTTGCCTATGTTTATGAAACAAGTTAATATAAAGGGGACCTAGTTTAGAGCGATTACTGTTAAGGATTCTCACAAAGTTTTAAGTCATAATTAACTAGCCTGGTGTTCCGTATAAAATCGTTTGCAGAAATCTTTGTTCATAACTCTTTTATTGAATTCGGTCCTTCCCGTATTTGATCAGCATATCTAAAGGAATAATTATTAATATTGTGGGGTTAAACGCCCAGGTAATCAAGCGATGTCCACTCTTATTACACAATTACATAATGCAGATACATGCATCGCTTCTCTGCTGAGCGTAGCAGTGTAGACAGCCAGTAACTTCGAACTTTCCATTTAAAAACTACCAGGTGTAATATACATAATGTGAACATTTTTTTGTCTCGAGTCCGACAGTGAAATACTAGTTATTGCTTAACTTTGTGAATTATACGCTTGAGAATATACCTCTTACTAATTAGCATGTATTATTAGCAAATGCTATATTTTAACTCTAGTCCTAAACAAAAGCGTTTTTTTTTCTTTTTATCTGACACGAGCTTAATTTCGGATTAATGATCATACAAGTACGGAGGATAGGCTTTGGCTGACTTCGTGTTATTATCCCCATCCCGTACCCGTTATTTTTTATATATTATAAGATAAATTTCATTTCCTTCAGTTTGCATATAAATATCATTATCTACATTTCGTCAAAAAACGTACGCACCAGAGACTAATAGTAACAACGTATGGCTTAGTACACCATGCAGGCATTTACTTATTGTCGACAGAAATAAGAGATATGACAACGTGACATTGATATTACAGATTATCTCAATCAGACATAATGAACAATTGCTTTTGATTTTTTTCTCGTTTAAATTTCAATCTGAAAACCAGTTTTAAAATATTATTAAATGAGTGTTTTCGGTTGAGTAAATGAAACTCAGATTTATGGTATTTCTTCTTCCAATGAAAATAATTATAGCACCAATATAATCATACTGTCTCTTAATGTTTTAATGTGTGTGTGCTAAGTGCATACGTCATCGAAAGTTGTTCATTTCTCATCTTTATACATTGCTGGGATTTAACATTTGCCTTTTGTTTTTTGAGGAATCATACAATTAAATTAACTTTAAAATTATATTCGCATCGGATATTCACGTTATTAAACTCTATTTGTTAAAATGACATTCACACCTTTAAAAGTGTACCATTGAGACTGAAACGTTTTCAGGTACATATAAAAAAAAAATGTTTTCACAGTGCTCATTTCTTCGAGAAATAAACAATGTCAAAATAATACCTTATTAAGTAGTCTCCCTAACGTAATCAAAGTGGTTGTAAAAAATAAAGGTACAAGGAAAACGTGCACATATTATTCGTGCAGTGTCCGCAAATAATATTTATGTAACAAATACTTCTGGAAAAAATCTTAACTAATAATTTATACAATTGAATCAAAAATGTTTATACCTTTACCATAGGAATTTTTAATTCATCATTTTGAATTTTTTCATGTGTGTTCGTTTTCTTTCATTCGTAGTAGAGGTTTCCCAATTTCTTACCGTACCAACCGTAGCACGAAATGGAAGCCGTCATTAAAAGTTTGAAAATAATTGGACTTACCTTGTTTGTATTGGATACTTGAGCTTAACAAACTTCAGTACATTGCCGGCTCATCTGCATGTTCAACAAAAGGAATTGTCCATTAGATTGACAAAAATTCTGTCCGCAGTGAAAGATGTATTCAGAAATACTGCGAAGCTGGTATTAACCATATGTGGATTCAATAAAACCCTTAAGAACTTCTGAATAATTTTAAATCTCGTTCTTTCTCTGAAATCAATTTCTTCAAAACTTATGATTTTTCAACCCTGTATGCCACCATTCCCCATGTGAAATGGAAAAATCGTAAAAGAAAAAAAATAATCCAAAATGCTTTTCAATATAAAAATGGTAGCATACGCTATAAATTTATTAATTTGGGATACCACACGGCATATTTTGTTAATAGTGAACAAAAATGTAAAGCATGCTACACAGAGGAACAAGTGATCAGTATGCTGGAGTTTCTTAATAGCAACATATTTGTCGAATTTGAAGGTAGACTTTTTCAACAAGTTGTCGTCATTCCTATGGAAACGAACTGTTTCTCTCTTTTTGCCGAATTCTTCTTATTTTATTATTAGTCAGAGTTCCTTCAGACACTTGTCATAAACAAGAAGATAAAAAGTCAGATAATTTAATTTTGAGATTCACATTCAGATATAATAATGATGTTCTTTTCGTTAACAATCCAAGCTTTTCTGATTGGGTTTCATAAATATATCCTCCAAAACTAAAAATTAAAGAAACAATAGGTACGGCTTCCTCCATACCCATAATGTCAACTGGTGAGAAAAATAGGATTTAATGGTACGTTCACATGATACTGCTTAAAAATGATTTTTTCTATTTAAAGTAATTTTTAATGGTCAATTATTGTAGTAGTATCTTTGATCACCCTAACCTCCTTTTAAAAAATAATGTGACCAAGGTTAACCTATCCAGGCAAACTAAAATGAAGGGAAAAGAACCGACAATATCGAAATTGAGCGGCAACAAATCCTATATAGATGCAAATAACAATCTCAGTTAGGTCGACAAATTTGCAGATCATGTCCAGGTGAACAGATTTGCTGTTTCAAGTTTCTATTTACATGTATCCATTATAATTTTCACAAAAGCAGCAATGGATTAAACCATCTATAGGTTCAATCATTTCAATAAGAGATTCAGCTGACGATTTTTGGCCGTTTTACTAGATTACACCAATTGCCTTGCTGACCATGTTTTGTTGTATAATGTGGCTCCTTATCTATAAATGTCTTAGCAAAATACGTAAAAATGGGTATAAATCATCAATGAAGACGACTGACAATTTCAGCCACGTGACTTATTTGTAGATCTAGCTGACAACTGTTTTAAATTTCTCTCTAACGATTACATTTTTATGATGATACCCAAAGATGCAAAATTGATGAACTCGTTATTGAAGTACAAATCTCCCATAGGTTGTCGACGATTTTGGTCATATCGACTTATTTGCAGATCTTGTCTTGTTGATCATGTTTGACGTTTACAGTTTCTCTCTGTTAACAAGATGTAAGGGATATCAGGGACGCAGGGCTGAAATATGCATTACTGTCAATGGAAACAATGTTATGCTTGAAAAAGGAAGATGCATTGTTCCTCGCAACAGGTGAAATACTAACCCCATCCCGTAAAGAGTTAGTTCATGGGTTATATAAAGTGCAATGTTTATTTCTTGATATTTGTAGCAAGTTTAATGTCAAATTCACTTAGTTAACTAGTAATGTATACCCATTTATTACATAATTAAAATATAAAACATATTTTATATAATTATATTTAAAATGCTTGTATCTTAAGAGAAAATCACACGGACATATATTTTTGTCAGATTTTTATAAAGATACATGTATATTTAGGACATTAATATTTAACATTTGTTTTGGTTTGTGTTTGATGACAACCCAGGTTGGACAGTATATCAATTCATTCTTTGACCTTAACTTTGATCATTTGTATGTCTTGAATATTATTCATTGAGAAATTCAATATTTATGATACAAATGTTATTTTGATTTTCATTTGAAATGACGTATGTTTTTTATTTAATTCATTGTAACACACTTTTGAATGCTGGTGAACATAGTGACCGTTTTGTTTCAGATGAACGGCGACACTCCTTTACACACAGCTGTTAGAGATCAAAACCTCGAGATGGTCCAATTGTTATTAGAAAGAAGAGATACAAATCCAGATAAAGTAAATAAGGTATAGCATTCTTTGTTACATTGATTCAGTCAATCATCAAATTAAATGTCCACACATTGATCTAATTAAAAATTTTACATTTTCCCTGTATTCCTAATTCTTCAATAGAAATATTGCACAAGCCTATACTTATATCGTCAGTTATGCTTAGTTACATTCAGCTTGAAAAGGGTGTTTTTCAAGGTATGAAATATAATTCAATAGTAAACAGGTTCTTTTTAATTTGCTTTGCTGTTTTATATCTGCAAAGTGGAATTCATTATTACTCTAACCGGTGAACGATTATTATGCCATCCTCCCCTTAAATGATTTTGAAATTTCAGCAACGGAAATTTTCCTATAGTCATGAAAGGGTTTTTTTTAATTGAACACTTATATCGTAGACAAAAATCAGAAATCAATCTCACCAATAAACGTTTGTTCATTCCAAAGTTCTAAAAGTCAAAAATACTAATTTTATTTTAAAACGTATTTGTACATTCAATAGCTGAATTATTGTATACACTAATTACTGAAGATTTGTGTGTCTTGTGACTGTAAAAGATTACTTTAAAATTTCATGTTAAGCAGTTTCATTTGAACGTACCATTAAATCATATTTTTCTCACCAATTGACACTATATTATTTCTAATTAGTAGTTCATGCATAATTTTATCTTATATACACACGTGATATGTAAGTGTTACACTTTAATCAAAAGTGAAAGGGGGCCTCGGTGGCCTTGTGGTCTCCATAGTCTACTATATCACTAGCCTGTCAACGCAGAGGTTATGAATTCTAGGGTTAGACTTTACTTTTGGTCTCTTTTGGTTTCTCTCAGTTCTTTAACATTCGTATGAGAATGTGGCTTTTCAAAGCATTTGGCCTCAAGTATAATTCGACAGACATTTATTTAAAATTTGCATCAAGAGCATTGACACGGGTGCCATTAAAGTATTTAAACTACTCATAGGCATTTTTTAAAAGTGGAAAGATTATCAAAATTATACACTGCATGTTAAGAAAACGGCTATATAATTTCATAATATTTCTATTCACGTTGAATTCTGCTTGGTACTTTTACAAAACAGAGAATGATGGCGGTCATTGATAGCTGTCATCAGTGGTAAATTAAATGCGCAAGACAGGGACATGCCATTGTGATACGAATATGAACCCTGCTTTGTACATAAACTCGTCATAGATACCAGGATTGAAATTTTATTCGCCAGACGCACGTTTCGTCTACACAAATCTTATCAGTGATGTTCGAATAAAACAAAGTTAAAAAGGAACGAAGTTTAAGAGCATTGAGGATCCAAACTTCCTAAATGTTTTGCTAAATAAAGATAAGGAAATATATTACTGGAGTGGAAAATCCTTAGTATTTGTACATTTTGTACATGTTGTACTCGACCAACCCTAACTCCCAATATATCAGTCAGGATAAACACTAGTCATCCTTCTTATTTTTCTGACTCAAGTAGAATTGAGGATGGAAAAAAGTGAATAACAAAAATTCCGAACTCTAAGGGAAATTCAAAACGAAAAGTCTTTTATAAAATGGCAAAATCAAAAGCTCAAACACATCTAACGAATGGAAAACAACTGTCATATTCCTGACTAGGAAACGGGGATTGTGCCAAAGAGACAACAACCCGACCAAAGAGCCATAAACAGCTCAAGGCCCCCAATGAGTCTTCAACTCAGCCAGATAATCCTGGACCCGGAGGCGGGCTTTCACTGACACCTTAACAAAAATGTTGATCAAAGTCTATTAATTGTTTGCTTTTTTTCCTTTATGCTGCGTGTTTAGCTAGTCATAAATGGGGCTCGAATAGAAGTTGAAGGACAAATCAACCACAAAGTTGAAGGTCATTGAAAACTAAAAACATTGGAAATGTGCCAAATAGGTCTATGATATTTAATCAATATGATCACATGAACATATACATCAGATCTCACAAAACATGTTTTACCCCGCCGCATTTTTGCGCCTGTCCCAAGTCAGGAGAATCTGGCCTTTGTTAGTCTTGTATGTTTTTTTAAAATTTTAGTTCATTTAAATGTTTTGGAGTTTAGTGTGACGTCCATTTTTACTGAAATAGTACATATTTTTGTTTAGGGGCCAGCTGAAGCCAGCCTCTATCGGTGGCCTTTGGCTGTTTTCTGCTCTTTGGTCGGGTTGTTGTCTCTTTGACACATTCCCCATTTCCATTCTCAATTTTACAAATACATGTTTTTAAATCGATATTATTAAGAGGATGTTCGCGCACAGATATGCATGGCTGTATAACGCTACCACTTGTCAAGCATGTGATTTCTTTTCTTTCGATTACCAAGCTATATGCTATTCAAAACATTAATTGTAACGTCACATTCGCTTTCTTTTCATTGTGGCAATGAATTTACATATCGCTAGTCAACTTCGTTCATAACACAGCGTTACACAGCTATGGATATATGTGGACAATGAACCCGGTTTGAAGATACACATATGACTTGGTTGTATTTTTTTTAAATAATTATTTTTTTTATATTCATATTATTATGAATTTATTACTGTGTTTCCGGCTTAAAGTTCTCCATCGGATAACTTGTGGTTAGACAAGGCTCACACCATTATTTATATCTATGATGAGTTTATTTATATATACATCGCATCAAATTTAGGCCAACAATGTTAGATGTGCAAATTCGAACTCTGCTTTTGAGACATTGTAGCCACATTGACTGCAGTGTGTCCTGCGCCCTAGACCACTCGACTGACTAGGCTATATAAAATATAGCTTTCGTTAGTCGAGTTATGCCTTTTCTAATCGGCTTCATCTAGATTGTAACACAGTTCATGTTGTATAGGGACAAGTTAATTGCTTACCTTGCAGATCAGCTGTTTTTGTCTGTCGTGAAGGGTGATAATTTTATTTGACATTCCGTTGCATCAAAGTTTAGTTTTATTAAATAAAAGAAAGGCGAAAGATACCAAAAGGACATTAAACTCCTATGTCAAAAATTAATTGGCAACGCCCTGGCAAAAACAAAGAGTTTACAAAACACAACATAGAAAACTACAGCCTGAGCAACACGAACACCATCAAATCTGGGGTGATCTATACGTCTATATATGTGACAACTTTACAACAGACATTATATAATCTGTGTATATACAATGCCGTAATTCGATAAAAAAAAAAAAAAAACACTTTCAAATATTGTGAAACGCGTAGGATTTAACGCTCTTGGAATTAATGCAAAAAAATTGTGATGCAAAGATTAAATGAAAATATAAAGCTAAAGCTAGTTATCACAACACTTGTTTAGTTTTGACAACTGAAAAATGTATTTCATTTACATTTGCAATGTTTTAAGAAAAAACAATGACTGATATCTTAATTATATAACTGCATTTATCATTTACTTCAATGTAATTGGTGACAGCTATCTAAAATTGAAATTGTCATTTGTATTACCGATGTAGCACGCGGTCTTTTTTTATCAGAATAATAGATGGTTAAAAACATACTGACAATAGTATTATATTAGATAGGGTGTTCACTTACATTTGCAATGTTTTAAGAAAAACAATGACTTATATCTTAATTGTATAACTGCATTTATCATTTACTTCAATGTAATTGGTGACAGCTAACTATAATTGAAAGTGTCATTTGTATTACCGATGTAGCACTCGGTCTTTTTTTATCATAATAATAGATGGTTAAAAAACATACTGACAATAGTATAATATTAGATAGGGTGTTCACATATAAATGTAAATATTTTCTTACCATTTAGTGGCGTAATACAAAGTCAGCACTTTATTATATAGATACATCTGTCCTACAATGCTGTATATCTAATGGTGAAGATATCAACCCAATCTAACCCTACTATCAACACTTCATTTGTAGACAATAATGACGCTATCTCATTTCGACCAATCAACACAGTTACACTCAATCAATCCCTTATTGTGTAACCTCATCCACCTCCACTGTTCAGTATGCAATTGTGCAGGTATCTCCGCGGTCTGACCATAAGTTACAGTTATACTTAACAGAACATAATATTATACAGATGTAATGGATGTTCAATATTTATATACCTGTATGGATTTATTTTCTTCTAAAACAACAGGTCTTTCTTTTGAAGAATCAACCCGGACGATACCAAGTTTCAATGAAATTTGCTTCAAGGCGTAAAATAATGACCCGTGTAAGGTCATTATTTTCCCTGATTAAAATGCAAACTATAATTTACTTATTGTAATTTGTTTAATAGTTATCGCGTGTTGTAGCCAATTGGGGTTTTTAATTTTCCATCCTTGATGGGTTAAGGCAGAAACAACCCTTTCCTCTGATTATTAGACTGACGCACATTTTTACGTTCGAAACACAAACATTGAAGTTTTGTTAATTTATTGCTACAATAAAGGGACATTATGTGAGATGAATTTATTAATGCAAAACTTTTCATTATGATACCACTTTTAAAATTAGCCCAATTTAACACATCCGTTTATAGAATTTTGAAAATCTTATTGATTTACACCGCATTGCAAATCATACTCTGACCTATTAATATTCTTTTTTCGTGTTATATGTACATGTATCACGAGTTCGTGCTCCCATTGTCCCAGTTGTTAACTTTTTACATCTTTATATAATACCTCTTACTCCATCAAATGATCAAATGACCAAATATTCTTATTTTCTTTAAAAATAAAACCACGTACTAAATAGTTGACAGGGAGAGTAAAAGATTTAATCCTGATTCTCAGTTAATAAAAAACAAAAAAAAAAACATGTATTGCCAAACAAAAGAGAGAATACCATTATTCGCAATAGTTCGTTTTAAAAATTGTTGAAAAAAATCTACTTTCCACGATAAAAAAAATAAAAATAATAGCATTTCCCTTTCATAAACTAAGTTGATGCAATAAATTACTTACACAGTTACTTCTTTTTCTAATAAACCTTACAATTCATTTGTGAATTGCTTCATGCAGCTAGAGGTATATTTTTATTGTAACTTGTTAAAGATTTCTAAAGTTTATAACTAGATTAATTAGCGACTTTTATTTCCCATTATAAATTAGCCGTGGGATGTATGAAAAACTGAACGCATCAAAAGAGAAATATCCTACTTTAGTGGTCGGTACAATAGGATGCAAATCCTGCAAATCCTTGCAGAAAATATTTGTTTGGCGGTACATAAGTCAGATAATGCATATATAAAGGTTGTCTTGTCGAATAACACACCTCGGGGTAAAATGCGACAAGACAAACCTTAAAATATGCATTATCTTTTAATTATTAACAATAGTTAATGTATCAAGGAATGAGCATGAGACGTTTCAATGAGTATTAGACTTACATACTCACGTCTTTATTGTCCTAAACATAACAATGCAACAAAATCTGTCGGGTCGATATCAGATTTTATATTAAAGGAAGTGTCTAAACTTAATGATGATTTGTTCATTTCATTTTTTTTTTTTTTTTTTTACAAAGAGGATAATTATCTGATTCCTTTTAACGATCTTTACTAACCAACAAAAGATGTAGGGTACGACTTCCAACATATTACTTAATTATGTATTTCTGTTGTTAACTATGCATATAAGGAATAATATGTATTCAAATGTGAAATAAGTTATGTTTTTACGTTTTTTATGTTTATGATTTTTGCTTATGTACTTTGTCTATATGACATTTTTGAAACAGTAATTTGTTTTTATAGTGATTAAGATTATATCACAATGTTGACTGCTGTACCCCAATTTTTTGACGTTTTTACCTATTATGTCTGTTTGTGTTGCTAACACACTGTTTTCACTATAATGGAATTCTATGCGACTGTCATACAAATGAGAGGTTTAGTTAGCTATAAAACCAAATATATGTGAATTTCACATGAATCCCACGTGAAATTCACGTGAAAATTTCTAGTGAAATTCACCTCAAATGAGCCTATACGTAAAACTCACGTACAAATTGTCACGTGAATTTCAGGTAAATTGAGAATCACATTAATCATGTTAATCTGACGTGAAATGTTTAATGTGAACTAAACAATCAAACTTGGTATTTTTTCATGATTTTAATTAAATTTGAACATTTAAATGTTATTTGAGTAACTTTATTTTGAAAATACTAGCAATACTAGTAAGAACATTTTATAGCAAATCGTACATGTTATAAAATGTACAAGCCGTTTTGTACAAAATAGCTACATCTAAAAGACTGTCAGTATTTGTATGTCGGATTTCTAATTTCCCTTTTTTGAAGTTGTTAATTGCCATGCATAGTATAAAAAGGCAGCTTTAGGAAAGAATGATGTACCGATTAAAAAGGACGGGATTGTGGCTGCGATAAATGGAACACTTCTCCTGGTTATATTTAAAAAAATACTCGTTGACGGTCAAAATCGTTATTGTGTCCGTAAAACATGCAAATACCAAACCTCCAATGTACCATCGTTAACATAATTTATTCAAAGCAGGAATTCAGCAAATTAAATAAATAAACGTAAAGCAAAATGCAATCAGTGTATATGCTACAGCCATTTTCTAAATTTTGGTATTTTGTAAAATGCCTGAAAGATAAACGAAATCTTCAAAAAACTGAGTAAATGAAAGTATAAAACAGCAGAGCAGTTTTATCTATAACACTTACTGAATGTTTACGCTTGCATTTTAAGAGTTTGGATAGTTTTAAAAAAATATAACTCAATTATTAAAATTTCTCACAAGTACCATGAGTACTGAATTTAACAATCATTTGATATTTCATAAAATGGTTGGATAGCAGGTTCTGTTTCACATTATTTTGTTTTGCATATATTTAACACTCAAAAACGTGTCCGACGTCACTGAACTACCAAACATGTCTAGTTGATGAAGAACGACAAAAACGTATCCTTTTTAGGTATGCCCAAACTATTAGTTTATAAGCACTCTCGAATTTTCTCTATAAACATTGTTTCCAAGTGTACAAACATAAGATAAAACCAAACTGTATGATGGTCTAGCAGGGGTTAACAGAATAGATAATAATGGGACAAAAGATAAAAGAAATAGAGCAAAATGGGCCAAAAAAAATAAAGAACAGAGAATAATGGGTTGCTTAAATATAAAAAATAGACAGAAATGTCTAAAAAATGAATAATAAAAAACAAATACATAAAAATTAAAAGAAAACAGAATTGAAGGACTCCCTTTTATATCCTCATGTATGATTAAAGTTAAATATACAATACTTTATTCATTTTAATTATATATTCGACGAAAGATTTGCAGCACAGACAAACATTGATATTTTCACTGGATTTATTGTTCAACAATTCAATATGTAATTTTTTGTTATCATCCTTCAGTCTATGACACATCAATTTAACGAGGTCATCATTTTTGATTTTCTTCGTTTAACTCGGTATCTCTTTTAACCTCTATGAATTGCGACCAAAACACCTCTGCATTGGTGTTATTGAATAGAGGTTTTCATATTATATTTGTCTTTGAACAGAAACATAGCTTCATCATTACATTTTCCATTGACGTTACTGACGTCACTGACGTCACTGAGGACATATAAGCGCTAACAGATTTGAGATGTTTCGGCGTCTCAAAGTGGACACGTTTACGCTATTTGTAATTTTAAGGACACGTTTCGTGTTAATGGACATGTTTAAGAGTGTAAAACATATATCGTTTGATGTTAGATCTGATCTTAGAACTATAACCACATTTCCTGAAACCCTGACCAGGACACATTCAGCTCTGTCAATTATTTTTACTGATAAAACACTGAACGCTCGAAAAACGTGGGGTTTCGCAAACAGTACATACACATACATACCTTCTTTTTCATGTCTTCCAAAAAGATTTAAAGTAACAGTAGCATGGAAAGTTTAACTTACATCATAACCAAAAAAAACAGCATTGTATATTGAAACCCATGATATAGAAGGGAATCTGTAGGATATCTAAATTTATTAATTTTCAGAATGCGAAAAATTAAATATGATGCCTTACGTAAGGAGAGTGCCACACTTTATGCACGTTAAGAACTTTTTGGACGTTTCGTAGGTGTCCTGTTGGAAGGGAGCATTTCTCTCTTTATCCTACATACCTTCATTCAAGTGACCATGTACATTCCTGTCCTTTATCTGGGTCAATAAATTGCAGAAATTACATATCTTATGTAATATCAACTTGTTCTCTTCCTAGATTTGCATGAAATAGTTGCTACAGAAACCCAATACAAACCACAATAAATCAACCAAGAAACATCGTTCATTCCTCTGCTTCATATTACACTTTTCTGTTTTGAATTCATTTGTCTGAAATGTTCTATTTTAAGAAAAATTTGCCCCTCTGTAATCATAAATTGTGGGTCATAACATTACAGTTAGAAATACAGAGTGAGTGCATATTTAACATAGTTTAACTTTAACAAAAATAATCATTAATATACATACTTTCCCAGATGTTATCTGAAGAATAAACTTAATATTACTAAACCATCAGTTTTGTTTTTACACGATATTATGTTTTTGGTTATAATTATGTGTCTCAATGATATCCCTTTTCTGTAAATGACATGAAACTGAACAGGCAATTTGTTGACTTTTGTTTCAAGATTTCAGTTTTTTTTACAAAATGACTAGGTAGTGTTAGTCATTTCATATAATGCCTGTCAAGGTTAGGCATTTTATGAATTGCCTGAAAATTAAGTCATTTTACAAATTGGCTCAATTAAGAAAACGCCTGTAACATAGAAAAGTCCAAATGTTCCAAAAGGGTATGCGTCTTGATATTTACCATTTATTGTCAATTGATTCATATGTTTTTGATAGGACATATTACTGATAGACAACGGATAAAAGATGTCAATGATTCGTTGTAGCTTTGTTAAACGTTTTTTACTGTATTTTCATTATGTTCACGATGTTTTTATGTCAGTGTCACTGATAATAAGTTATATTGGTTTTTAACCTTCAATTGTGATATTCCACACATGGTATACATGTACCTTTTCGGTCCGTTAACGCTTTTTCTTACACTTTGTCAGTGAATACATTATGTGTGTATCTTACCAAATGCAGACGTTTTTTCAGTTAAAGACTTGCTGATACCTACAGTGAAATTTAGTTTACAAATGAATTATTGAATATGCTTTTTTCAGTACATAGCCATAGTTAATAATTCCAAATATATATAGCCTGGGTGTTGTGATTTCATTTCAGCATAATGAGGCACCAATGGATGTTTTTAAGGCACGAGAAGGGAGAATGGAAGAGGATAACAAAATAAAACGAGCAATAGAAGAACTCTTTAAGGTAAATATGTAAAATTATTATATTTATACAAAATTGTGATATTAATACGATCATAAATATTCATTGAAATACTGCATCATTGACGAATCATGTGATAATATTATATTATTCTGAAGTGCAGTATCATAGAGCTTTATCTACATTTAGTTCCCTTGATTGTTGTTTAATCCATACGGTGGAAGTATTTGCATGCGTATAACAGACGATCACATATGTAGTTATCATAAGTGTTATGATTGTCTGTTTTGGGTTTAGAGACTAAAAAAAACGAAAAGTGGACAACAAGCTATGGTATAGGAATAGAAGGCTAGAATTAAAACATTAAATATAAATTAAAGACCTCTTATTGCAGAATATTATCTATCATTTTTTAGCAATATTTAAGGGTTGCACTTCGTAAATACAGCTGTTTAACAAACCACGCCTCTTTTGGGGAGATATATAATATTCATAGATATTTTGTGTTGTTTACGTACTGGTTCCCAGATATGATCTCTATGTTTCATCTCATAGAGACATAACTTGTGAATGTTACCAGTGTAAGTACACATGGGTAGCGGTGAAATTGAATTCTGAGGAAGACCAAAAGTGCAGGTAGGGGTAGCACAGAATTTTAGTATAAGTTTAAACTCTTAGAAATTCGAGGCATACAAATGTTGAAAATATGTCTCACAGCCCTATATTTTGTAGCGCATATGAACTTTCCATTCTATGATATAATCTTTTACAAAACTTCATGGTAAAAGTGTCACAGTTTTAGCCGTAAAAGGAGTTCCTATGGGAAATTGCATTGTCTATATTTACAGAAGTGCAACCTATAATATCTTTCCTTGCACAAAATCCGAAAATGAAAGCAAGCCGATGCGTCTGTGAAAATTGTGACGAACTTAAAAAGTAAAAGAACAAAAATACCGAACTCCAAGGAAAATTCAAAACGGAAAGTCGCTTATCAAATGGCAAAATTAAAAGTACAAACACATCAAACGAATGCAAAACAACTGTCATATTCCGGATTTGGTACAGGCATTTCGTATGTAGAACATGGTTTATTAAAACTGGTTTTATAGCTATTTTTTTAACGTATGTTTTTGATCGGATTCTAACTGTTAAGTTTTAATTGATTATTTGTGTGCTGTTCTTTGTACCTTTTTTGCTATTTGTATTTCGTACATAATAATCTTTTATTGCTATATTTTGAGTTTCTGTAATGTTATTTTTTGTGAGATTTTTTTTATTCAGCTTAATTTGATCTCAATTTGTTGTGGAAGTCATTGTTATTTTTGCGCACAAACAATTTAAAATGACTTCAAGCTTTTATCTGAACGTGCATGTTAAATCAAATCATCAAACGCTAATCAATCGCAAATAATGTAAAACCTATAGTTTGGAACTACTGCTATTTGACAATTATTCCTTTAGTAACATTTGTTGTAAACCTGAAAATTGGTGGCGTAGTACTAATTACATATTGACTGTTGTTTTGGATGTGTTTTTTTATATCTCTTTAATTTTTGCCGATGACGAAAACAAATTTTAGGAAAGGGCCTTAATCGTTAATATGTCGCTTTGTCTGACCTCGTCCTAAATTAGATTAATAATAAGAAATAGTTATTTTCTTAAAGTATCATTTATCTGTTAGTCAATGACCATAAATTGTTACAAATTTTATCATTATTTCTCATATGAATACAAGGATGTGAGGTCAGTTATACTAAACCAAGGCTGATGGGCAAAGTAAGTCCGTAATATTTACCGTCATTTGTTATGTTTTTAGTTATACAATGTAGCTGTCATAACTAGAATCGCATGACTATACGCTCGTACGAAATTGAAAATATTATTCATTTTCTTTGTTTTAGTTTCATGCATTAGGTAAGTAGGCTCGTTATGCATATAAACAATAAAACACAAATTAGAATGAAACAAAAACTCTATCAATACTGGCTAGAATAATTGATATAAACCATTATCTTGTTTTACATTTTAGTTGGTTTTAATACTGTGTTCACATTTGATAGCCTGAAGTGTAAGTGTACATACTCATCTACTACAATAGTACACCACACTTTTATAAAAATAAAATTACAAAAATACCGAATTCGCAGTTGTTATCCATAGGAATGCCGATTACCTATCAAATTACACGTCCTTCAAATATAGCAAATTTGTTGTCAACAAAAAATGTTGATAATGTAACTTCCATACAATTTATTTTTTGTTTGAATCAGAGTGTGTTTTTACAAAGTATGATGTATCCCTCTTACAACCAGCTATCTGTAGCTTCTTTGGCCAGTCCTTTTTTTCGGTTAAACCTTTCGAAATGTTTGATCCTCAATGCTCTTCAAGTTCGTACTTTATTTTGCCTTTTAACTATTTTGACTTTAGCGCCACTTATGGGTTTGTTGTTGACGAAACGTGTGTCTTGCGTACAAAATTGTAATCCTGGTATCGGTGATAAGTTCATTTGGCTCAATTCTTTTAATCAATCTATAAGTTGATATTTGGGAATAAAGTGAAAAAGGGTAGAAAAGTCAAATGTCAAATATGTTTATCAATGTGTATATATACTATTGCAAGAAAAAAGAGCCTGAAAGTGCATATACTCTAATAATGAATGGATTTTGTAGTATGTATATCTGATTCACAACGCCCATAGAGTAGGTAGTTTCACAGTCACTCTGAAAAACAGTGTAACAAAAATACCGAACTCCAAGGCAAATTCAAATGGGGGGAAGTATATAAAAATTGACAAAATTAAACGCTATCAATCAACGGATCAAGTGGAAAACAACTGTAATATTCATGACTTGGTAGAGGCATTTTCCCAATTGTATGACAGCTGTTATAGTTTCGTTATATTAAAAAAAGTGGTTGAGCATGACTTTGATTGCAGATACAAAATGATGGAACTAGGGATGAAAGGAGGTTTTTGCTGAGCGCTTGTCAGACACGAAGTTTGTAAAGACACTTATGTAAATTGGGTATCCATGACGGTTAAGAAAGAACAAGTTACATATACTTTTTTTTTTAATATCAAGGGAATATATAACAGACCTTTATTTGTTCAAGATGTCCTCTTAGTTACTATCGATGGAGTAAATGTTGAGTAAGTTTCCTAGTCAATTGTCACTACGTTATTTCCAAAACATGTGATACAAGTGGAAAATATCAATGAATTCAAAAAAATATTATAATTGAACTAAACTATGTGAAAAAGTTGTGTACTTACAATAAGTATTTTTGAGAAATGAAATTTTCAATTTTTATAAACAATCCGGTCAGTGTCATCAGCCAAAATGTTGAGAAAATGAGTGAAGTGTACAAAGAAATGTTTTTACCAAAATTATGTACATCCCAAATCAACTTTTTCTTTTCAGAATTCTTAGATATGTATTTTTTCAATCATTCATAACAAAGAATTTGATATAGTATGCTTTTTGTTCTGAAAAAAAAAGAGAAAAATCCCAAATTTACCAAATTTATAGCATGGTCAATTTGACACGAAAAAGCAACAAAATTTTATAAAACTTTCTTCTACTAACACCTACCTATAGTTTGTTTAAGTTAAATTCATTCAGATTGGTCCACTTCATATTTAGTGAAAGTATGAAAAAAGTTTAATTGTGAAACTGTGATTTTTTTTCATGATAATAGCCAAAAAATGGGTAAAAATTGATGAAAAATGGGAAAATCATAAAAATGTGGTACTTTCAAATGGCCAAAAAAAAAAGAAGTGCACCACCATATGATTTATCTTTATCAATTACATTTTTACAGTCATATCAACCCAAAAATCAGGTTAAGAAAAACAGTTTATTCCTAGAAATTTTTGGCTCCTCAGAGGTGTATATCCTTAAGTCTTGTTGAGAGTTTACATTAATGTTTAGATATTTTCTGTTGTAAATTCAGACATGTTGCCTTGTAGAGAATACAGTGCTGTTCAATAGAGTTCAAGACAATTAAGTATGTGTTTTGTTTGTAGAGTAAAATGCCAACAACTTAAAAGTCTGAAAAGTACTGAATTTACCGGAATTGACTAGTCTAGAAATAAACTGAAAGACTGACAATGACTAAATGATTTATTAATAAGACTTTTCAGAGTTGTTCAGATCAAAATGGCCGTTAAAGCTCACAATTCGTTTACAAGTGAAATCACTATCAACCTTCAAAACTTCGTGTTTTAGTAAACTCAAGCTGATCAAGTATGTGTTCTATTTAACGAAGCCTTAGAACGACCAGCTACATCGTCTTTAACGAATATCAAATCGACTTTTTACTATATATTTTGATTGTAATGAACAATATGCTGCCACTAGTTGGTCGGGAATAAATCATTAAACATCTAGCTCTCAGAGTTCATATATATTTTCAAAGGTTTTTTTTTGCTTGAGTGTATACTGTGATGATTATATCAATGTATATGTACTGGTCGTAAATGTTTAAACGTATGACATAGATTTCCGTGCTCACTTTTTAATGATAATGTTGTCCCTGCAGATAAAGCCACAAACAACAATATTATCGTATTCAAATCACATTACATTAACTGTTTGATAAAGGAATTAGGTATTGCCAATTCAGTTGGAAACTCAACTTATACCCCCACGACATTGACCAAGGAGGAAATCCTGGAATATTTTCTATGTTCCTTTGGAATTTCAACCAAAAACGAAGAAAATGATTTTCGTTCACTCTAGTCGATACCTAAAGTGTCCTTAAAAACAACGTTATACTGATGAGTCTTCCAAGTGCTCCATGAAACCTGTTTCATAATTAGTAACATAAATTTTATCAGCAATCAAAACTGAGCTTTGAGGTTATTGTGAAAGTATCTACTCTCTGCTCTAGTGGCGGCGTTAATCAGATGTGGATACTTACAAATTCGAAAGATCTGTTAGCGTACATACAATCTAAGTCACTTTCTTCTTGCAATATTATTAACATATTTGAAATGTTTACCCTGTACACAAGTAATCCCTATTTCAAACTAAAAGAAAAATTGAAAGAGTTGGTCCTACTTCGTTTCATAAAAAAGAATGACCAAACGTAGGTACAAGTATACTGTCTTAGGGAGGGATAAATCGTACTCTTATTCAAACGAAAAATTCTCTGAAACTGACATTACCAAGATGCTTGATTTCCTGATTGACAACATATTTGTAACGTTTGGAGGACGTGTTTTTCAAAAAACAATCGGCAATCCCATGGGAACCAACTGTGCTTCTCTTCTTGCCAACTTGTTCCTTTATTCATATGAGACTAACTTCATACAGGAGCTTCTAAGGAAGAATAAAAAGAAGCTATCAGTATCCTTTAACGTCACGTTCTGCTAAAAAGATGATGGTATCTCACTAAATAATTGAAAGTTTGGTGACTATGTTGAACGGAGTTATCCAATGAAACTTGAAGTAAACGACACAACAGATACAGTTAAGTCTGCCTCAAATCTTGGCTTACATCTAGAAATTGACAATGAAAACAAAACTTTACAACAAAAGAGATGATTTCAACTTCCCATTTTTTTATCTTTTCATTTCTATGTAGCAACATTTCAGCAGCACTTGCAAATGAAGTATATATCTCCCTATTGATACAATATTCCAGAGCTTGACAGACGATTGCTGCTTACAAATAAGCTATTAAACCAAGAGTTCCAAGTGGTAAAGTTGAAATTATTCCTTAGCAAATTTGGCGGACGCCATCACGAGTTTGCTTACCGTTATTGTATATCTGTTTCAAAAATGACGACGGATATGTTCCAATTGTTGTAACTACAATCCCGTACTCTTTTCCCCAAATGTAACCTACCGAAATAGACTGATCACCGGCTGTGTACTTAAATGAGCAACATAATGGGAGCCACATGCGGAGCAGGATTTGGTTACCTTTCCAGAAACCTGAGATCACTCCCGGTTTTTGGTTGGGTTCGTGTTGTTTAGTCTTTATTTTCTTTGTTGTGTTTTGTGTACTGTTTGACTTTCCGTCGCTTTTTGTTTTTTGCCATTGCATTATCAGGTTGTTTTCGACTTATGAGTTCGAATACCTCTTTGATATCGTTTGCCTCTCTTTCAACAGGTCAGAATCACTTAATTTCCTGACTTCAGTATATATTTGCATAGTAATTTCCCAAATAGAAGTTAAACAAGGCCTTGAAAAACTGAACAATCGACTCAATGAACTACAATGCATTGTGGACTACTTCGAGTTTACTACCACTTAAAAACACGTGGAATTATTTGGAAAACTATCAACTTATATAGTGTCTGGGACTCTCATAATAAATATTTTTGTCCAGCTAATGTATTAAATGTTTCCACGTGAAACAGTGAAATTTCCAATGGAGTGACCACTGCCCAGCAAAACAAAATCATTTGAGCTCTTTGAAACCTGTCAAAACGGTGTGAAGGAATGGGTGACACGCCTCTCTAAATATAGGCTGTATGATTTTTGGTATCCTGTATAATGCCATTCAGAAAAAATTCGTGCTTCGAAAAACACAAAGAACATGACACTGCTTGAATTAAGCATGTTCTCGTTGTGGCGTTACTGGCTGAGAGCGTAAGAGAGAACAGTTATGTTCTCATAGAAACGGCTCGTAAAATATTTTGTCAAATATGGTTTCGAAGACATCACAAAAAATACATGCTGATTGACAGTTTTGGACTTTGCGATAGATACTTTTTTACACAAGCAATTCGAAATTGTTTAAATAAACACGAGTCCTTTTCCCGTAGTGGTCGCATCGATGCTAATCAGTGTTTGAATTTCATATTAGAGGAATATAATCGTAACATTAAAAATCATATATCTGGTGTGGCTAACAGTGCAACATTGGGAAATAGTAACTATCTGAATGAACGTACGTTCATCTTATGGGTTATTATGTTTTTCACTGTTGTTTCGTTACTGTCTTGTGGACGGATATCCAAAATCTTCGTTTAATCATCAATAATATTAATGGCAATATTTCGGGTAATTCAAACACTAGTTTCTTCGCATAGAAACAACTTTTTTTTAACTAAGCATGGAACGAATGCTATATATCACGGACTATAAATGCAGATACAAAAGACGAAAAAATTTGCTAAATTGTTTATCCCGCAATGCATGATAAACTGTGTTGTATTTTAGTAAATAACACGTGTTATCAGTTGATTGTAATCACGTAGTAGTCAATTATGCATTCTTACAAATTAAGTGGATTGGTAAAAAAAAACAGGTAAACACAAATTGTGTCATACGTAAATAAACAATTGTATTTGCGGGGACATTAGTATGCTAATTTATGCATATCCACATAAGGTAGTGTTCCCTGTTTAATGTCTAAGGTTTAATGTAGAGATATTTTAGACCCCAATGTTGCGTTCTGACTATTTACCAGAAATTACTCATCAATAGATTCTGAGAGGCATACCATCACGATTGCTACCTTTGACCTCTCTCTGCATTGCAAGTTTTTGTTTGATTTCCCATTCCGTGTCCGTTTTAGTTGATGCTTTATAGACTGTTACTTGCGTGTTCGGGTTTTTGTTTTTGATATTTGTCTTACCTTTTTATTGTCTTTATTCTAAAGATCATGGTGTCATCTTTTCTTCTACAACTAATATTCCGACTGTCTCTCTGACGTTTTTAGTGTGAGGGTACATTTTGTAAGGTGAATCAAAGTAGTATCATCAAAATATCTCTGTCAATTTCATATTAGATGTGACAGTGTAGTTGGATGATGTCATCTCAATTGAACCATCAAAAGTTAGTTTAAATGAAATTTTAAAAATTTGTATCCACTGTCCTTTTGAAAGTCCCGCTCATTAGTTTGCATGACGTGGCGATATAACCAAAGGTCTGCCCGGCTATTATTGTTAATTATCAACTGATATATTGTTGTCAATTACTGTGCAATATCAAATATGAATATGTCATGAACAATTCAAAACAAGCACAAATTAACAAGCAATCCAATAGGTACAATTGGCAAAATGGGACGGCCCAAATTGAAGTACAAACATGTCTCTTTCACTAGAAAATGTGTAACTTTGGAGTTTGCTTTGCTGCTGACCATCAACAGACAAGTTTAAGAGTTGTTTTTACAATTCAAAAAAATTAAACGAGGGTCGAATCTCTCAATACGTGTAACCCATTCGTGTGATGTGTTTGAGCTTTTAATTTTGCCATTTGATTAGGAACGTTCCATTTTGAATTTTTTAATTATTTTACTTTTTACTTCCTATACTGACTGGACATCACCGTGTATTTATACACCTAAATTATTTAAATGGTCACTTTTTATGCATAGGTTGTATAACCGGATGAAAAAATCAATAACCTTTAGCTTTATGAATCGTTACCAAAAAAAATAGAGGCAACAGTCGTTACCGATGTTAAAATCTCATTATCCGTTATCAAAACACAACACTTGAGAATGCAGCCATGAGGCAATCGTATCAACTCCAAAGGAGAAGAGGCTTGATGCGTCGACAGTTTCAGAATCTGATGCTTCGCATGCATCAGTCACTATGCGAGTGAAGACTCTGTTCAAAATGTAGGACACAATCTATAATTTGTGTTCTCGATCAGCAGTTATGTGTCATCAATAAGCAGCTTATACCTTGTTTGTAGAATTCAATAAGCTCGGAAATACAAAGAAAACCACGCCCCTATTGCAAAAAATAAGGTTATGTTGCATAAAAAGTAAAGATAACATAAAGACCAAACTCCAAGGAAAATTCAAAACGGAAAGTCCCTTATCAAATGTGAAATCAAAAGCTCAAACACATCAAATGAATGGAAAACACTTGACATATTTCTGACTTGGTACAGATATTTCCTTGTGTAGAAAATTGTGGATTAAACCTGGTTTTGTAGCTAGCATAATCTGTCACTTGTATGACAGCCGCATATAAGTCCTGTGTTTCCTTATTATCGATATTGATGACGAGATTATAGAAAAAGTTCTTGGTTGGCAAATGGGAAATGTTGAACAAAGTGTCGATCCATTGAGTTCAA